TTTTATAAAAAGAAACGCCACAGTTCGAGATTTAGCCCACACTCGGCGGCCATATTTGATCCCCACCGCGGCGTACTGCTCGTGGCGCCGCGAAGAGAGAGAGGAGGCTCCATTAGTTCTAAATTCCTTGGATTTAGCCCATAGTCGGCGGCCATATTTGATCCCCACCGCGGCGTACTGCTCGCTCGTGGCGCCGCGACAAGGAGATTAAAAGTAAAGTTCTAAACTCCTTGCGCCGCGAAGAGAGAGAGGAGGTTCCGTAGGCCTAGGCCCAGGCCAAGGAAGTTAATATACTAATATAAGATAGGCTATTGTACAAGATGAGAAGAAGGGGGGAAAAACAGCTGTTCAAAAGCATCAGTGAAGAATATGAAAAAAATGAAACAAAAATTGAAAAAGAAATGAAGACCACCATACTCAAAAATTTAAAACCTTGATCTAGATCTAGATCTAGTTTAGAAATTAGAACACACGTAGGCTAGGTAATTATTATACCCGCGACACTAATTTTATTTTGGCGCGTTTAATTCTGGATAGAGTACTTTCTTATACTTTGTAAGAGCCTACGAGGAGGTTTTTATTGTAAGGAGCTAGATCTAGGCAGTACCTGGCAAGTGGCAGTGGCAATACTGGCAATGCACGTTGACAATCAAGTAGGCCTAAAGTTGACATCAACAAACCGAAACCACTACACAGTAGTACACAGTAGGCAGGCAGTAGGTCTAGGCCAGTTGTCGGCTTAGTGGCTGTGAAACTAGCTGTGGTAAAAAAAAAAAGCCCAAGCCGGTCTCAAAACTGATGACATTGTCCATCATTTGATCTGGCCAAGGGTGTTTTTCACGTAGGTCTAGATTAGATCTAGAATCTAGAATCTAGTCTAGGCGAAGCGAGCGAGCTCTGAAGTCTGAAGCATTGCGTGAGAAATCCGAGCACGCCTTTCATCTCACTTTCTCTTCTGTTTTGAGTGGATCTTTAGTTTTGGCACGTGCAGTCTAGTCTAGATTTTCTAGATAAATCTTCACAGCACGATGGCAACTTCTGACTTTGTTGGAAAAAAGATGACGATAACTACAATAGGCGGGTCCGAATACTGTGGTGTCCTCTGTAGAGTAGATGAACTCGGCGGAAAAGTGGTGCTGAATGACGGTAAGTAAAAGCTGGCAGTTAAGTTTGTGGGCTCTTTTTCGGTAGTTCCCACCCCGCAATTGTTATTCACGGGTTTTGGCCCCAAGAGTAGGGGGGTTTCAGAGGGGCATGCCGCCCTGAATTTTACTACAATTTAATGTTTTTCTGTTGTTAGATCTTAGCTCACCGCGAATCAAACGTATAGTATAGATCTAGAATCTAGATCTAGATGGGCGATTGTCAAGATTTCCGCATTTAATTCCGATGTGCGTTTTTCATAGCCTCAGGTATGTTTCGCTTTGGTCCCTAACCCTAACCTCAACCCTAACCCTAACCCTGACCCTAACCCTAACCCTGACCCTAACCCTAACCCTAACCCTGACCAGGTTTGGTCAGGCACTATCGACTCAAACCTGTAAAGCACACAGGTCTCTATTTCTCGGCAGTATTTCTCCGAAAGTTCGGGAAAATAAAGCTGGGCACTATTTCTCCGAACGTTCGGGAAAATAAAGCTAGGCACTATTTCTCCGAACGTTCGGGAAAATAAAGCTGGGCAATATTTCTCCGAACGTTCGGGAAAATAAAGCTGGGCACTATTTCTCCGAACACTCTGAAATCTCATCCTTTCTCGCAAATTTCGGATATTAAATAGATCTTTAATTATAGTATAGGCCTACCAAAGATTGTTCGTATACAATATGGTTCAAGCGGTCCAAAAAATGTCCTCAGTAAATTTTTATATATATAAAGAAATGCTACAGTTCCAAACAGTTTTTCGCTAGAGATATAGGCCTGACGTGTTGCCTATGTATGGAGGGTGCTGCTCTTAAACTTAATTTGTTGTGTTCACTCGTGTGCTATCTAGATCTATGGAGGGTTATTGATAACGACACATAGAACTAGCATCTGCGTTTGTTGCGGCGGCAACCAACCAATCGTGGCTCGATTTTTTGGCATTTTTTGGTCCCCGAATCAGGGAATAAAAGTAAAATTAAATTTTGTTTAAAAAAGAAAGAAACCGAACCTTTTTACTTTTGAAAGAAAGTTCACCTAGCTTCACTTCTTCTCTTTCTCACTTGTTTGTCACCACATTGATTTGTTGAATACGTTACAGTTACTTTTATTTTTCCCTCTTTGTGGTGTTTATTTTGTTAGTGTGTATTTTTTTCTTTCTTGTTATATAAATTGTTCTGATGTGTTGTTTTTCTATCTATATACATGTATAAATATAGATTTAAATGTTTTAATTTTGAGCGTTCCACCAAAACCGATTACATGTACTGACACTGGCAGGCCCCTTGTGTGTGATTCCATAATTTACATGTAATATCCTCCTGTACTTTTTTTTTTTTATTACGCACATTTAGGGTTAAAACAGCCAATCTTCTTCGGACAGGTGGACACACGCCCTTATTTGTTAACTTTTATGGTTGTTTATGGGCTGTTTTAATTTTGATTTCATTCTATTTTGAAACCTTTCTTATTCACATTTTTACACTCATCTAAAAATCTCCAGACTAGCTCTTGGAAATTGAAATAGATCTAGACCAAAAAATTTGCTCCTTCCCAAACCTCGCAGAATGGCAGAATGAAAGTTGGCTCCGAACTTTGGCAAATAAGCTAAAAATCACGAGAGAGGAAGCCGGAAACCGTTCGGAGAAATAAAGATCGGCACTATTTCTCTGAACGTTCAGAGAAATAGTCACTTCATTTTTTTAATGGTCAGTCTAGCCATCATATTAAGAATAAGTACAGCTAGCCCAGCTGTCTAGCCGTACTTAAGTACTGCTAGGCAGTCTAGCAGTCATTAAGTACGGCAAGCCTCTTCCTTAACTATTTGGAACTCAGAGTGTTGTGATTAGCCCCCATGCTAAAAAAAACCCACTGCATTTTGAATAGCTTCTTTCTAATTAAAATGCCGAAGCCCAGGTCGTGATTTTCTGTCAGCCGTTAATCTCAACCTGAACTGCACGTCGCAAGTTAATGTGACGGTTTATAATCTGAAGATGGTTGAACTTTCACTTGAAAGTTGGAGATGAATGTTCCCCTGTTGGGATGACTTTTTTGAAGCTATTCATCATAGAGATTCGGAATCTACCAATCAGCCTTTTATAAAGATTGGGAGTAAAACAGTGACTCAAGCCAACGAGTTAGAGAACACTCAATCTCAGGCAAGAACAATATGTACAGTCGAACCTGCCAAGACAGCCACTTTCCATTTCCCCCCTTACGTTTTTTCTGTGTTAAACGGGCACCTGTCCAACGCGACCACCATATTTTAACACACAACCCCTATCATATGAAACAATAACACCTGTCTTAGACGGCCACCTTAGTGACTCCATTACGTTTTGTCATAAATTGTGCATTGGCCCCTGGTGTTGTGGGCGAGCCGTCATATCCAATCACCTGTTGTTATTCGTTATTGTTAGGTAGTCCCTCCAACCGATCATGTTGCTTAGGCCCCTCCCGCTGTTGACCAATAGGTGACAAATTTTCAGCTGCTGGTGAGGTAAGTTTGTGATCCCTCATAACCCATAAGCCCTACCCAGAACTCATACACACAAATCGTAAGTGAGATGAGCGGTCACTGTTTACCCAGTCTGTAACAAAGTAACAATGGACGTCAACATGAACATGTTACAGAAACGTCGCTCGTTTTCCGAGTGGTGGCGACCAGTGTGTTTGTTTTACCATAGCGTTCGGTCCATTTCGTTTTATTGTCACCTTTGCACAAAAGCAGCAACGAAAGAACCCCCCACCCCCCTCCCCAGCGAAAACATTCAACATCAACGACAATGCGACTACTTTCAATTAGGACCTCAGAAAGGCCACTTTTCTCCTTGACAATGGGTGGCCGTCTTACACAGGTTCGACTGTTGTTGGTTGAGACCAAGTAACTTTGACTGCACACCAAAAAAAATGTTCTTAAAAAAAAAAGGCGGAAATAATGCTAAGTGACCATAGCCACCCACTTACATCAAAATATCAATTATTGACCCTCAGTAAAAAATACATTTCCCATTAAGCAAGAACAGACATATATAGGTCTATACATAATAGAAATTCTTTCGTGCCAACTGCAGTGAGGTTACTGAACACACAGTGCTGCTACAAATGAAACTCAAAAAGAGAGAGAGAATGTTTTACGAAGCGGGTTGTTTCAGCACGCTAGACATACTAATAATGTCCTGTCTTGCTACGAAAACGATGTTTGTTTATTTGTTGTATTCTATTGCTTTCTGGTATCTGACTCGGTTTGAAGACGGCATCCGTGCACCCAGTGTATTAAAAAATTCAGAAACATAATACTACAAACAAACCAACGTCATGTCTTCTTTTTCTTCTTCTTAGATTCTCCTCCTCCTCCCCTTCCTCCTTTTAGAGATAAAGAAGCCGTTTCCTGCATAGTGCAGGCTCACAGACTGTACATTGTTTATCCCCCTGGCAGGCCAATACATTAAAAAATACATCATGTAGTAACTCCTTGGGGAGCATACAGTACTCAATACCGATATCCTTGTACTAATTTCACCCCTGACTGAGGTAAGCAGGTTAAAGTGCCTCACCTAAGGACAATATTAATATTATAGTAGTAACACGCTGATCATTGGTTCTCCAAAGGAGAGGTAAGGAATTACTGTAGTAATGCGTTGTTCTGAATCTGAACAATGGGCTTACAACAGTAAAGTGCACGCAGAGATAATTATTGCAAATGTAGACTATGGCGACACTGCGGACAGGAAATAAGGCCTACTGAGTTGCACTTGTTATTGTTAATAATGTTATCCTAGCGTCTTTGGACTTATTTGCTCGAACTCAAAATTATTATAATGTGATGATTGTGAGAGATGAACTAGACTACTTTAGTGCAAACGATGTCAGGAACAACTGTTATAGTCTGAGGAACACCAAATGCTTGCCGACCTCATTACACCGAATCTTAGTGGTGAATTGCTATGATTTTTTGCATGCGCCTATGATTTCTAGAAGACTTAAAACACCTCAATCTTCTTGCATATCCGACAAAAATAAAGAGGTGCTGTCTATATATATAATCATTAGTAATTAATTGATCTTTAAACTCAACACTGGGGGCTCTCTTTGCCGAGAGGTTAAGGTGTTCGCCTCTGATTCAAAAGGGTCCAGGTTTGAATCCGGGTAATGACGGAAAATTTTCTTCTCTAAAAGTGAAATGTTCTCCTTTCTCATCCTTTCCTGCTCTCTGTCTCTTGTAATGTTCTGTTGTCTGCTTTCGTTTCCACTTTCTACCCCCCTCCCCACCCCCCACACACACTCACATCTTTTGCCCCCTCCTCTGGGCTCCTGACTCTTTCTGCAGCCTTTCTACTGCTTCTCCTTGGCTCCTTTTTACTCTTACTGCTGTCTTTCAGCCACACCCCTGCTCTTGTCTTATGGTAAGTAGGTATAAGATCTACACCTAGCCTTCTCGGACAAAGGTGGAAAATTTCGGAGGTACCGTGTGCAAGTTGTGCACGTTAAAAATCCTTGGTGGTCTTAAATCGATAAGAGTAGGCTTCGGCGCCACCCGTGCAAAATTCAAACTTTTTTAGCGACTGAAAATGTTTGATTGCGAACACCATAAAACATTTACCCCCCCCCAAAATACCCCCAACAACAAGCACCCCCCCTCAATATATTTTTAATACAGTCAAACCTGTGTAAGATGGCCACCCATTGTCAAGGAGAAAAGTGGCCGTCTTAGGCAGGAATGATCAAGATGAAGAAAACAAACCATTCCCATCTGAGGTCCCAGTCCCAATCGAAAGTAGCCGCATTGTTGTTGTTTTTGTTGCTGTTGGTTTGTATTTTGTTTGCAATTTTTATTTTGTTGCTGATTTTGCACAAGGGTGACACATTATATGACTGTCGTCGGGAGGTTTTACGTAAAACCAGAATTAGTACTAGAATTACCTACTAGGACTGTATAATTGTACCAAAGGTCAAAAGACTGCACTCTCATAGCACAATGGCAATGTCTACGTACACGGTAATCGCCAGCGATTGGTCAATGTAGCAATTGAGACTTGTCACGCACAACAGACTGGGGATGTGACAGGTTTAAAGCTTCATCATTGGTCATAATACTTAGCCAAGAAGTGCCAGTCGACAGGCTGTGTGATTTTGTCGCGCAAAAAGATACACACTTGGCGACTCATCGCTTGCCGGGTGCAACGTGACGTCACGTATAAGGAGACTGCTTATACACTTAGCCTAGCCTACTACGCCTATCTTGTACCGGTACTGGGAGTGACACCAGTAGGTGAGGTCATAGACTTCGCGTTTTGCGTCTCACGCCTCGATCAGCGCCGCCCACATCCCCACACACACACACACACACGTCAGAATTGGAGAGTCCCAGAGCCGGTACTAAACGTTGGTGTCAGCTCCTTCCAGAGCCGGTACTGGAGACCAGGTGCCGGTACTGACTCCTCCTTCGGTAGGACCAGGAGTTCCGGTACTGGATACCTGCCCATCCCTACTTTTCATAGACTGGTGATATTACATTTCAAATTTGTGTTCTTTTGACAAAATGTTAATTTGACATTCTTTAGACTAATCTATTTTTGTCTGTTACAGTGTTCATAAATGGATCAACCAAACTCTTGGGGCCTCAGTATTTTTCTGTTGCTGACATACAGAACGGTAAGTAGCCAGCCTACAGTAGATAATCTTCTGCAATGGTTCCCGTGAAGTTACATATTTTTTTCTAAATGCTATTTAATGTCTTGTCCATTCTTATCGCTAACAGGTTATTTTTTTAGCAATTTATTTGTGCAGGGTTGGGTTTTTTTCGGGGTGGGGGGGTTCTTTTCCTATTCAAAATGGGAATTTTGTTAGACTTGTGTAACAATGCATTGACATACATTGTAAGTAATGTAAGCAATTTTTTTACATCAATAGCAAACATTCATACTCTTAGCTCTGGTTGTGGATTTACTTTTGATGTTTATCAAACATGTGAGTTATCGTTGTTTTGGTGTGAGACATGTTTTTATTTTGGCCTGAGTCTGCAATCAAGATTGAATTTTGTCCTTTCTTTCAACAGTGAAATGTGCCCCTGATGTTACTGATGAAATGCAAAAGGAAAATACAAGACCGAATACCAGTTCAAAGATGTAAGTTCAATATGGTGTTTGTTGGATAGGGAAAGACCACATTTCTGTATGACAGCATGGGCCGGGAATACAAGACAACAAGATAAAGAAAAATTGAGTCGATTAATACGGAAAGCATGCATGCAAAATTTCAACATATCTACCTTCCCCTACTTTGATGAATTATACATTGTCGCTTGCACTAGAAAAATTAATTCCATCTTTTTTTGACAATAAACATCCCTTATTCCCTCAAATAAAAATATCAATCAGAAGTAAAAGGCCTAGGCTTCTGATCTGTAACAAAGATACAGGTCATTCTTACCATCTTCCATTAAACTTCTACCATCCTAATCATCCTGTTATAAGTATTCCTATGACCTTTAATCTTTAAAGTATTTAAAGCATGATCAGAATACCATTGAGTTACAATCAGAATACTGAGTATGCATCTATCTTAACATTATTCATGTTTATAATTACTGTTCATTTATATTATGCAGGTGACTGTTGGTCTGTTTGTGAGTTCAAGCATACTATTACTATTGTATTATTATAGTTATAATGTACACAGATGTGTGTGGAAGAGAGGGTGTGTGTGTGTGTGTGCATGTTTGTGTGTGTGTACGTGGTGAAACACCAAACCAATGTGCCAGGATTTGGACAATAAAGATGTATCCTATCTTATCTTACCATGGGAAAATTAAAGAATTATGGAGAGAAAAATGTTATCACTTTGGGGAGCTGGCGTCTTCTCTTAGAGCTGCACATTACCACAGAAAAGAAAAAAGTGACCTCCTTCTGCTTAGTAGCGCCACTGTCAAGGCACAATTTTGTCAATTCTGAGCAGATGATTGGAGTGGGCAGTCCAAACTGGCTGGGCAGGTGGGTGCAGCCACTAGTTATGCATTTATATTTAGGTGTTTTTTCCACAAAATCATTATTTTGCTACATCTGTATGGACTCTTCTATGTAATAACCAAAACAAAATTCCATTGTTCTTCTTACGTATTTTCTTATAATATGTGATAAGCCCAGATCTAACTTCTGGTATTCACAGCGCTGTCAAATAGTTTTTTCTTATATTGTGATAGTGCAGATCTGACTTGCGCTGTTCAACATCAGTCACTGAGCACGGGCGTGTTGTTGTCGCGTGCGCACAGACAGTTCAATGTGTTGACATCATGTCACCGTTCATAGCGCTTCGAATTTCGAGTAGGGTTAGGGGAGCTCACTGCGTCAGCTAACTTCAAAGGAAAAAACATTCGCTCCACTTCAATAGTCAAATGCCCTTGCTTGAGTTGTCCAAAGTGTGATGAGTGAATATTGAATAGTAAGAGCTACTCTCTAAAGGATTGTTTTGTAACTCTTGTAGGCTCTTTTTATCACTCTGTCTCGTAACCATCAAATAAAGAGTATTTCTGTATATTTATCTTAATGATTTTAGATATAATGTACTCCAATTTTTCTACGTTTGAGAAAATGAGAAGAAAATCCATTAGATTTATCTGTTTAAAAAAATCACACGCCATTCGAATGGCTCTGCCACGCTTCGAATAGCTGTGAATAGTGCTAAAATCATGAATGTCGAATAGTAAAGTCGAATGAGCACTGCTCTAATGTGTACCGTTCTTTGAAAATAAGTATGTTGGTGCAGCTTTTGTGAGTACAAAAGCAACCCCTGTCATACACGGATGCCTCTTGAAGAAAGGATCAAATGGATTACAAAAAACTTGATTTAAGTCCGAAAAAACATCTTAGAAAAGGTCTCGGACAAATTTGTGTGAAAATAGAGTTGAACATGTGCCGTATTTTAATATGCTAGAATTAAACCAGGAATGGCTATTTCCATGAAGCACGAGCCCTTGACAACAGATAACTTGGCCGTGATTTTACTTCTGGCGTAGCATCAGCTATGGTGAGAAATGGGGACCAGCGGAGTGTCTGAGAGTGGTGTTCATGTCAATGCTGACTGAAAACTTGCGAAAAAGGGTCATTGTGAATGGAAAGCCAATTTTAAATCAATAAATATTGAAATTCTCTTTTTTGAGACTGCTAGAAAAAAATGAACTTGTATAATGTGTTACTAGGTTACTTTCTAGAAAATATTAAGCATCTGGCTATATGTGTTGTGATAGGTTAAAAATGGCTTTTCAGCTTAGTTCACAGGGTTGCAAATAGGGGAAGTGGAGAAAAAACCCCCAGGAAAATGCCAGTATTTCTTTAATAATTGCACAGAAAAATATATTTGGTATCAATGTAAAGAGGGGAAAAGACTGCTTGATAGTTTTAAATAAGCTGGGCCTAGCTTCTACTCACATGAAAATTTGTGAGGGCTAGACCTAGTTGGAGAGTGTCACTGGTACCTACTTCTTTTGTTCCCCTGTGTTTTACTGTTTGTCTGTCTAATGACAGTTAATATGCGTTATTGATTGTGTCGATGTCTCTTTGCTTAAACGATTGAGGTCTGAGTTTTGTCTCTGGATTTAATAAACAGTAGATATTGTCCATTTTTGAGGAGAAAAGTGGTTAGAAAATTTCACTGTAATATTTTTTGAAAGGCAAAGAAAGAACTTCGGGGTAAGTGGTCATTTGAACAGGTGGCCGGTAGAACAGGTTCAACTGCGCTATGTCATGTCAACTGGTGGCTGAAAGATTCTGTTTTTTGTTATCAGTCTAATTTTTCACTCATTGTATGCTACTGTTTCAGGTGTACTGGTGTGTTGATTATTATTTACTGCTGTGACTTTGTTGTCTTGTAACATTGTGTTAGAATTTTTGGACCATTATTACATATTTAGAAAAACGTGAATTTTTTTTTTTTTACAGGAAATTGAGACAGCTGCGAGGAAAGAAAATAGTGCAATCACACCTTAGCAAACTCCGAAATCTGGACACTGATGACCTGGCAACAGCAAAATGCATCTTTTCAGAGGGTAAACATGAGGATGGTAAGAATCTGCAGTTTTTGCATGCTTATTGGTATTCAGTCTTTGTGTGATATTGTAGGTGATTTCTAGGCCAGCTTTCCGTTTCGCGAAATCTTTTGAATTTACCTTTTTTTTAAAAAACAACCTTGCGGCTAGTTTTTTGTTCTGTTTTTCACACTTCAGGGCTAGAAGATTTTTTAAAATTAATGTCCTGGTTTGAGAGACAGTACCATGCTTTAGATACATTGGAGTAACACCTTTTCATCTATTTCATTGGGTGGCTTTGTCTGTCTGTTACGAGACCCTGATGGGCAGGGTCAAACCAGCCTGATTCTAAATTATCCATATTGTTTCGATAGGGGCATAAAATATTTTGTAAAAATATTTTAATTCTTGTTCAAATATAACTATGTAAAATGTTTTCTATTCTCCACTTGTAGATATTGTTGTGCAGGACAGTGACTCCTTTGAAGACTTCTATCAAGATAAGGACTGCACTCAGATTTGCAGAATTTGTGACAAGTTTTTTGATGCGGTAAGTAACACGCTCTCAGCCTAAGTCCTGGTATAATTTTCTTCAGAACCTTTGCCTGTTTTGCTAGATTTAGTGATCTGAAACTTGCGAGGCACGTTGCTTGTTTCTTCTGAAGGATTTCCTCAATGGAAGGCTTGGCTATGATAAAAATAGATTACTGACATTGCACTGTAGCCTCATTTTCAGTACTTGCAAAGAAAGTGTTTTAGAGCAGCTGTCAGGATTTACTTTATTTCCACGTAGTGAAAAAAAAAGTGTACTTCAGGGGGTTGCCAAGTGCACAGGAAGTTGAACAAATTAGCAGCCAGTGTTGGCAGAGAATGTGGATAGGAAAGGGGTTAAAAAGTATGAGTGATAACAGATAACAGTTTGGAAGAAATTCTTCTCAATTTCTCAGGATGACTGTCTTGTGCTCAAAACTGAAAAAAGTACAGCACGCCTTGTTCTTTACTGCAGTGATATTTTTGTGTGTGCAGATTGTCTACATAATGGAACAAGAAGTTGTGGGTGTGACTTTTCAAGGAGTTGACATTGGGAGACATGGAACCTTGTCTCTCATTCAGGTAAACATAGTGTCGTCAGTTACTTGGACTATTGTGTAATCTGAACTTATTTATTAATTAAGACTTAAGACCGAACTGTATTAACTAGATGGACCTGAGCCTGCCTACCTTTACATTTCTTGTGCACCAAATGCACACTGTAATGTATGTTGCAGCATACCTTGCATATATATCTTGCAGTGGACACCCAAAGGCTTGTTTGGGGGGGGGGGAGGGTGTCCAACATGCCTTTTATGATGTAAATATCTATGAATCAGTTGGAAGCAATGCAATTTCCCCCCCTCCCCCCCCCCCCCCCAATGACATCACAGCCCTACATGCGGAAAGTTTGATCCTTAACTCGCCCCCCTTTTGTAATCGAATAGTTTTTAAAATGACAGCAGTAGGGTATCGAAACTGTTAAATGATCCTTAATAATATCTCTAAGCATTGCATGTGTGTGTGTACGTGTTTTTAATTTGAAGTGTAGTGTTGTAGTTATTCCTGCTCTCCATGGGGAGATAGGAATATGACTCCAAAGAGGGTATATATTTGTCTTTTTGTGTTGGATATCAATGATTAATCCATACACACAACACAAGTGTACACAATACAGGGGGCTCTCGTGGCCTAGAGGTTAAGGTGTTGGCCTCTCATTCAAAGGTTCCGGGTTCGAATCCGGGTAGCGACCAAAAAATTTTCTTCTCTAAAATTTTCTCCTTTCACCTCCTTTCCTGCTCTCTAGCAATGTTCTGTTGTCTGCTTTCATTTCCACTTTCTGCCCCCCACCCCCTCACCTCCTTTTCCCCCTCCTCTGGGCTCCTGACTCTTTCTGCAGCCTTTCTAATGTTACTCCTTGGCTCCTCCTTACTACTGTCTTTCTGCCACACCCCTGATCTTCTGGTAGGAAAGATCTACACCTAGCCTTCTCGGACAAGGGCGAAAAATCTCGGAGGGCCCGTGTGCAAGTTGCGCACGTTAAAGATCCCTTAGTGGTCTAAAATCGATAAGAGTAGGCTTCGGCCGCCACCCGGGCAAAATTCAAAATTTCCTACCAACTGAAAATATTAGGTGTGTCCCGCGCGCTCATATGACCTATGCAGTTGCGAGCGCCGTAAAACACTTTACAAAAACAAAAAACACAATACACAAGACATCAGTGATAAACCGCCCAAAATTTCATTCAAGTGTATACACACCAGAAAAATTTGTTTAATTAAGCCCAGTGACACCATAACAATAACCCAAGCTTCATTAAAGGAAAAAGTGCATGTGTGTGTAGGGAGGGGGGGGGAAGGGGGTGGGGGCTGTTCTGTCTATGCCATGGTCTGGAGCAGAATGTTTAGACTACTCTAAGGTATCGAATAAAGAGGAGGGGGGGGGGGAGTGGCTCGAAATTAATTTTAAAAAGGGGCGGGGGATACATTCAACCTCATACCCCTGTATTAGTAGGAACAAATCTGGGGGTTTTTAAAATGAAATTTTAGTAGATTACTCTGACAACTTTTCCCATTTAGGAACAAGCCAGTTTCATTAAAAAATATAAACCTATGTGCAAAAGTTTTAAAAATGCACAGAAAAAAGAGGTAGCCAACCCGGTACCAGTACCAGTACTGAAGGTAATTTTCCATTTACAAAATAAAAAGTTTCATTCAGATATCTAGATTCTAGATATAATGTTTCACATGATTGTCGGTCGTGGCCAGCTGGAAAATAATAAAGGGGGATATGGAATAAGAAGAAAGGGGTGCACAAAAAACTGAAAATTAATTGGGGAGGGGGGGGGCTTATTCGGTATCTGTGAGTAGGCTTACGTCACATAATGATGGAATGCAGCGCAGTTGCAATCGTAGTGAGTACTCGATTTCTCTGCGACTGCCTCATTTAACCATATGGATAACGACGGGGGGCGAGTTCATGGTCAGCCTTTTCTGACCGGTGGCATATTTTTTGACTGGAGGACGAATTCAAGATCCCCCAAATCAGTTGTGTACAATAATAAACTTTTGAAGTTGCTTGTTGTATTGTTAGAGAATTTAACGTCTTACAATATGTTCTACTCCATGTCTATCTTTGTGGATTTCTTTTTTTCAACTCTGACACTACTATAGTTCTTATTTTGTAAAGATGCTATTGTTGTATTTGTGTGCTCTTTTTAAAGATTTACTTATGAAACTAATCTTAAAAACTTACATTTAGCTCACTTTAACTTCTGTAATGGCTTCTAACTCATCCTAGCAAGTTTTTAGTTTATTATGCATATCATATTATACATATAGCTTTCGGTTTAAAAAATGTTTTAGCCGTATTTAATTTTGTTCATTGTTTAATGTTCTCTCCTTTGTCACAGATTGCTACAGACACTGATGTCATAATATTTGATTTGCTGAGACTTGGAGAAAAAGCTTTTAATGAAGGACTTCAAGAGGTTCTTGAATCTTTACATGTTCAGAAGGTAACGGCAAGAACCATTTCAAATATGTAACGTCTTGGTCCGCTGTCGACTTTTGCTTTCAAATTGCTTTAATTGATATTAACGAGATTTAACTGGGACATTCCTTTTATTTAACGGACCCAATACCTGCATGGGTCAACTTTTGTCACCCGATACCTTCGCGGCTGATCTCGCTCAGGATTTTCCCACGCCTGATTATAAAGGAATTCTCATTCAAGTTTGAATCTAGATTTCATTGATATCTTCTGTGATAGTGATCTACTATTTGGTTAAAACATTAAAGGTGAAGATGAAATACGAGCTAACGCAGGGTCAGATGGAGAAATGAGACATTAATGTGAATTTATATTTTTATTTAGTGGTTGAATAAAAAAAAGATTTTATGACACATTTTATTTAGATGATTTATTTTGGGACCTTGACCCTGCCCATCAAGGCCAACCCAAGCTGAGACGGACACAGCATCCCTGCAGAAAGACCAAGATACTCAATAACAATTGTCCCCACCCAGGAATTGACCTCAGGTCTCCTGTGTGCGACAGAGAAGGGCATAACTGCTACTCCACAAACACCAGTGTTGTTGATTCAGGCTAGGGCAAAGAAAAATGCAAAGATAAAACTAGGACTGATTAGTGTCTAGATCATCCTTGACCAACCAGAAAATAGGGATTGGCCTAGAAACATTTACCTCTATTTAAATCTAAACAAAAACTAAACTTTATATTTTGCAGTTTATTTGATATTTATTGTCATGTGGGGTTGCTTTTGTAGACAATTTTTTTCAAAGTTTAACTTTGTACAGAACACTCCTGGAAGGAGGGGGGGGGGGGGATTTTCAAAACAGGGCCTTAGGCGGAGTAGTAGATGCACTGCCATTACTTTGGTTTTCCGTGGTTTAAGTATAACTGTTTTTGTGCCAAACTGCAAATTATCTCTCCTATCTGGTGCTGTGCATGTGCCAATCCATGATGTGTCATCGTTATGCTGTCTATATTATCTGACCTACAAAGTAAACTTTGATTTCGATGCACTGATTTATTGTGATATATATATATATATTGTCTTCATTTTGTAATATCATGTGTACTTTATTTGTTATATGCAAGTCTAGTCTCTCCCAAAACCATCTTAAACCTGCCACATTTACAACACACTCTTCTATCACAGTTGTGAAAATTCTTCTGGCACATAGGAAGTTCAGACTTCTTGTATAAACATCCCCATATCCTTAAAGTTGTTCTAAACATAATAATCACTCTGCTATGAAAAAAGTGGAGTTATTTTTTCTTTTCTTTTTTCGGTGATCCCTCATTTCTTTTTAGAATGCCGTGTAAATGATCTTATTCATATATTATTATATCAAGCACACATTGTTAGAACATAAATAAGAAATAAATTAAATTACGACAACAAACAGCCTAAAATGGATTTTAATATCTATGTTTAAAGTTTTAAAGTGTAAATGCTAAGATATTCTTTTTTGTCTCCTCCTTTCAGGTGATCCACGACTCTCGATGGATTTCAGATTTGTTGTATCATAAATACAATGTCACTCTGAACAACGTGTTCGATACACAGGTAGTTACTGTTTCAAATTATTGTATATGTGTCTGACAGTGTTTTACCCCCCGGGGCGGTGCCACTGACTGTGTGTCTTTAGGCCATTCCCAAAGGGGGGGGGGACATTTCTCGTTCAAGCACAGTAGAATTGTAAATGGGCTGATTCATCATGTCACGCTCATAACTGTGCCTGATCTGCAACAGGGAACTGCTGCTTTTTCTTTCCTAATCCTTACTATTGTCATTTACCTCTACTTCTTTTGTATGTTTGTCACTCTCTTGTGACCCACTATTTCCAGGGTGCCTTGATAGTCAAAGCAGACCTTGTGCTGTTGAAACTAGAGAGGTGTGCAGAGTAAGTCCTTGTAAGGACTTCTCTGTTGACATCCACCCCTTGGCGCTCATATGACCTTATGCAGTTGCGAGCGCCGTAAAACCCTCTACTAAAAAAAAAGTGTTTTTATCTAAATGCTGTTTGCTGGCCTGAAAAGTCTAGTAGGATACATGGAACTATTTATTTATACATTACAGTATATAGATATATATTTGAGAAATATACTTTTACTTGCACTCTTCTTATGGCTATGAAAAGTCATCTGAGAAATTCATCAGACTTATTGACAATAGTATGACCTGCTATAGTTGTCATGTTTGATTGTGAAAGAAACAACCATTCTTGTCTAACAGTGTTCTTTTGTGTACATCCAGGTTGCTAATGCCTACGTGTACAGCCTGTGCAACGGTGGCGATTGGCCCAGGTACGTGGAGAGTTTGCCTGGCTGTCTCATGTGTCACCTGGGCTTGTCTCATGATGAGGTGTTCAGCGACAAGATCCGAGAAAGACATCAACAGGTGAGTGGTCTTTTTATTCACTGCAGGTGTTCGGCATCCAGTAAAAGCAAATCGGGGTAAAATCTAGTGAGATGTTTTAGCAACCACTCTTCCTTACTGCTTAGGTGGGTGGTCCTTAGGTGTGTGTCCTTGAGAAAAACACGAGAACCCTAGTTTGAAAACAGGGTGCTGCACAATGGTGTGTTGACAAATTGGTTTGATATAGAGTATTGTGTAAGTTTGATATTTTATTGTGTTATGTATGTATTTTTGTGTGTGTGATTCATTGTGAATCAAATTTACCCATAGATCAATTAATATTATCCCTTCCAGCCCCGTGCGTGTATATTTTCAGCAGCACTTGTACCACCCACTGTCTCAAGAGCGTATATTCTCAGTTTCAGGGGGTACCAAATTTGAGCATTTTTCTAAATTGACTAACCTAATTAAACTTTAATTTTCATAATATTTCTTCATTTACCTCTAAACTTTGTTTATATGTTTTTATCTAAACCTCATTACAAAGATACTACATCACTTTTTTAAATGCAAACCTCATTTTCTCATATACTGCTGTATTGGCTGGAACTGAGGAAAGGGAGTGCACAAAAAATGGCTGGTGCTGGAAGGGTTAATAAAAGTAGATTTTTAATGGTTTCTGTCTCTTGTGAATTTTTATTTCAGAAGGACCAGGAACTGTGGCTGCAGAGGCCTATACCGGACCCTCTTTTGGTGTTTGCCTGCAAAAATGTTCGCCACTTGGTCAAACTCTCCAGAGTTCTACTGGATAAAATGTTGCTTGTCTTCAAAGTCGGGGTGAAACTCTATTTGGGTCACAGCAAAGATGCTCCACATGGAAATGCGGAAAAATTCAGGGTAAACTTAGGTTAATAAATTACATATCATTCTTTTAAAAAATACTTTTGCCATTTGTATTAGGCCATTGTTGATGAGTGGAGTATGTGCATAAAGGAGTGGTCATTGTGTTAGGAATACAGTTTGTCATTTATTGTGTTAGGAATACAGTTTGTCATTTTTCTGATAAATGATTTTTTAGATCAGTCAGGAATAAGTTGTGCAGGTTTTAGGTAAAAGTAACAGTAATTTCTAATGCTATTTGATAAAAATGAATATGTATACAGATAAATGTCAAAATGAATTCAAGCGATCTTTGGTTGGAAGGGGAAGGGATAATAGCGAGGGTCATCGGATGTTTCAAAGCCAAAGTTTGGACAGCTACGGCATGGTGTGACTATTCTTTGGCAGGTTTTGTGTGAAGTAATTAACACTCAAAAAGAGTCGACCTTGGTTTTGGGTGTTTTCAATAATTTTTGTTTTTTCTATTTTTTCAGGCAAGTCAACACCTTCTCCCTTGCAGCTTTCTGGACATTCAAAAGTATGTGGATTTTGAGATTACCAATGCCAAAGAATTTGACTACCAAAGGAAAGACTCGCATTATGTGACGTATGACCAGCGAGGGTTCCGATCGAATTGTTTGGGAATTCAAGACAAAACTGTTATCAGGAGTCATGACTCAATCTGGCACCGGTCGGAGTCGTACTATAGCACATGTGAGTACTTTTTACTGGGGAGTATTTCTGTGCATGTGAGTACTTTGTACTGGGGTTTGTGAGTATTTTCTAAATGGGAATACTGTAGCACTTGTGAGAATAATGTGCTTTCTATTTGGGGGTACTACATCACTTGTGGGTACTTTCTGCTGGGGAGTGCTATACAGTAGTCTCCGCCTAAGATCCCAGTGCTCTGAAGCAAGGAAATGTGGGATCCTAAATGACGAACCCAGGGAAGAATCTACGGTGACCCCCTGGGTGGGTTTATGACATATGGCGAGCAAAGAGTGGTTAACTTTGATGACCTATCACAGTGCATAGTGGCATGAGGCATGCCATTTTCACGTATTATTCTATCATGAGTCTCAAGATCTATGCTTTTCCAGTTACCCCTCCCCTGTACCTGTCGAAAATTTACAGCTTTCCATCTCTGGCCGAGTTCCCCCGCCTTTGTCGTTACACACCATTACGTTGTGACTACACCATTTAAAATGCAGTCTGTCTCACAGATTCGGGAGTAGAGACAGCTGCTGCAATTGTCAGGGAAAAGTTTGATATGATCCTGCCTGGCAGTGGCGGTGGGTAGTGAAGGGCTCACGGGCTTGAGCCCCTACCCCCTCCCCACCCACCACCCCCAACTCTATCCCAAAGCAAATGAAAGTTTCTCCATTTGAAACAAGCAGTTGAAACAGAGTGATCAACTTGGCGGCTTGCTCGCTTATCCAATCACTGTTGTCACCACTTACAACTATAGTAACCCAGCAGCCAATCAAATGTCTTTAGGGCTCTGCAAAGATGAGCCCTTTCCCCACATCCGTGCTTAATTAAACTCTTCTCGTAAAAAGGTAGAAGACTGAAAAAATAACTCTGTACCGAGGGCTCGCGCTCTCCTAGCCCTGACAATGGGGTGAAAGTTTATGACACACTTTCCCTCACTGACACAGATACCTATGCGCTCATTGGTTCTTTGTTGGGTGCGTTCAACTTTCTCGACTACATGGCCTAATCCAGCTCATAGAAGTATTATGTTTGAAGTGCTGTATGTGCATGTTTGTGTTTGTGCCGCTGAGATTTAACAGTTATAAATCAGGTCGAACTACTTGTAAGGCAACTTTTTCATCACACGAAGACTAATTAGAGGAAATTTGAATATGAATCGGCTTCGTCCCCACCATCAACAAGAATTTAACTAAGAACGAAGAGATGGAAAACAAATGCAACTCTTCTCGTTTGAATGGTTTTCAAACTGCTGTGGCTCACCGTGAGTATAAAAAAATCATCACTGTTTAATTCTTATTGCTTGCTATTTGGTGGTAAAGAACTGGAAGCAACCTAAGCCCCACCCAAATTTTGGTCTACCCACCGCCACTGCTGCCTGGAGCAAAGTGAAGTATGTTTAGGGGAGAGCTCAGATGTGGGTGCGATGTTTGGTGGAAACGTGTCGGTCAGTTCACACCTCGGTGTGATCCCGTTTGGGGCACATATTGCACCACTTCAAAGAGTTTTTCAACGTGTATGTGATCATTCACGAGATTGGCTTATTTTGTGCCCACTTTGGTTTTTGTTTCACAAATTATGATCTGAAATGTGGGATCTTAGCTGAATGTAGACCTTCAGGGTGAATCAGAGCGGGATCTTAGAGGTGACTTTTGTATAGTAAAGATTCTGTTTTCTTGAAACAACAGGATCTTAAACGAACCGGGATTGTAAGCGGTGGGATCTTAGGCGAAGACTACTGTAGTGTATTTTAGTACTTTCTACTGAGGAGTGCGTTAGTGCTTGTGGGTACTTTCTATTGGGAAGTACCATTACACATGTGAGTACTTTCTACTGGTGAGTACTATAGTGCTTGCAGCAAAAGGCCTGTACTTCCAACATACAATCAGTATAATGATTCATCAGCGAGTTTCACTGCACTCGTCATAAGCATTTTGTGTTGTTCAATTTCTGCCTTAAGTTCAAAACAAACTTTGTGAGTTGAATTAGTTTTGTTTTTGTTTTTCATACTTCTAGTGTCGTACTTTATGTTCTGTTTATTGATATTGTATATTTCGTCTCCCCCCCCCTTACTGAAGTGTCTTTAGGCCATTCCCAAAGGGGGGGACATTAACTTGTTCTTATGCACAGTAAAATTATAAATGGGCTGATCTATCGATGTCATGATCATAACTGTGCCTGAACTACAACAGGGAACTGCTGCTTTTTCTTTCCTTATCCTTACTACCGGCATTTTCCTCTACTTCTTTTGTATGTTTGTCACACTCTTGACCCCGCTATTTACGGGGTGCCTTAATAGCCGAGGCAGACTTTGTGCTGTTGAAGCTAGAGAGGTGAGCAGAGTAAGTCTGATTCCCTGTAAAGACTTCTCTGTTGACATCCACCCCTTGGCGCTCATTTGACCTTATGCAGTTGCTAGCACCATAAAACTTCTACTAAAACAAACAATTACACAAACAAACAAAACTTGTTCACTCGAATGAATGTGATAATTTTATCATTATCAGTAACTTTTTTTTGGGCCTTATTTCCTTTCAGTCCGTGAAAGATCTGCAGTTCCTGGCCAAGATCAGTACAGTGCCTCAAATGGAATGCCCGCTGAAGAGAAATGCCGTCAAAAGCCGGTTACTCTACAAGTCGCCACTGTTGAGTCAAATGAAGGGGAGGCAAAATTGAACTCTCAAAAACTGAATTCGCACAATGAATTTCACAGAGCTAGGAGCAACGTTGACTCAAAAATTTGGACAACAAAGTCTGGTGATGACAGCAGAGAAGGTGATCAGGAAGAAAGACCATCGTTGAAAACTATTGGGGAATGCTTGACAAATGGCAGGGGTCGTGGTCATCACAAGTCTGAGGAATGGGAGTCAGCACATGAAAATGTCAGTCCTGTGAGGGCTCACCATGAAGGCGGCCCTTCGATATCACATACCTCTGTCGGGGAAGAAACCAAGTCAGGCATATCCCCTCCATCAGCAAACCGTAAGCTTCGTGGCATGCAACCTCAGCCTAGTTCGAGACTTTCGGGATCTAAACTTTTTCAGTTAGGAATGCAGCAGTCTTGCTCAAATCAAGTTAACGGGGATGGTGTTAATAACGTGGCTCCGCCACTGTCAGACTCGGACAGTGTCTCGGACGTGACTAAAGTTAGTGGACTGAACAATTCGAACAAAGGGAATATTTCTGTGACTGTTGAGCAAGATGAACTCAGCAATGGATTTGTTGCAGAAAGTGAAAATGAACAAATGAAAAACAAACCGCAGAAAATGAATGGGTTTGGCATTGGTAGAGGGAGACAGCCTCGCAATGGGCATCCCTCGAGGAAGTTGAACTTTGAGACCTCTTCCTATGCTTCTTCATTTTCTCCTATGGACTTTGATGATGGACAGGATAGTGGTCAAGATCACTTTGTTTCTAGTGCCGAGAAAAGGGCGTCACCGGGTTCATTTGGCTTCAAAAGTTCGGGCACATCCTCAGCCAGTGACACTGATCCGCCCGGAGTCTCTGAGCGGTTGGTGAGGAATGCCGAAAGGGAGAGCATACTTCTGGAAAACATTGCTCCGGCGGGTTACAACAGTGGAGGTAAAAGTGGCAAGAAAAAGATGAAGCAGCTGGAGAATATGTACCATGGAGCATCAGAAACATCGGGTAAGGAAACTTGATTTGTAAAGTTAGGGCTCTCATGGTCTAGAGGTTGTGGTGTGAACCTCTCATTTAATAGGTCCTGGATTCAAAATCTGACAGCGATGAAAAGTTTTCTCCTTTCACCTCCTTTCCTGCTCTCTAACCACGTTCTGTTATCTGTTTTCATCTCCACTTCCTTCCTCCGTCCCCCCTCCTTTGGGCTTCTGGCTCTTTCTGCAGCCTTTCGTGGGGGGGGGGGGCACCATCGGTTCGGGCATGAAATGTCGCAAAGATACAAACGCATCACAGTCTCCCCCCCCATCCCCCACTGATCAATATTACAATGATAAGCTGGTCTAGATCTACGTAGTGAATTATGCGCTGGTCTATGGAATCAAAAGTTGCCGTATGCTAGGCTCTACACAGCAACACAACTTTTTGGCAAACAATCGAGGTGACATAGGCGTGCATTTGAACAAATGAGTCTTTTTTTTCGCACAGCTCATAATATGCGATCATTTCAGGCCCCACTTGTTACTTCTCTTTACACATTACTGGCTGTAAATATCTACATAAAACCTCATGTTTGATATATCGAAGACTCGGGTTCAACGAGATTTTAGGTCAGGCCTGGCAACCTCATTGAATCTGAGTTCAACTGTATTATCTGAATTGTGTCTGTTGTGTGTGTGTGTGGGGGGTTTACAATATACGTAAGATCACTTGGGGGGGGGAGTGCTCAAAAATAAAAGCTCTGACAACAAAAAGAAAGAAAGCTGATATTTTTTTCCCCTTTCTTTTGCTCAGTTGCTCATTCAACAAGGTTAGGAGGTCGTTTGACTTTTTCTCTACATGTTCATTTTGCTGAAACAGTTGAAAATGTATATATATGTATACAGGGTTTTTAACACGTTATACAGCCAGTCTTTTATTTTCATTTACTAAGCTTACGTTGATTTTACAATTAATATGATTGGTAGATTTTTAAACTTTCTCTCTATATTTATTTGGCTGAAACTATCATGTTTGCATGTATATAAAGTTTCCACACCGTCTGGGGTCAGGACCTTATTGTTGCTCAGTTCCGTGAATGAATATCGAAATGTATCGGTGAAAAATCAGGCTACATCTAGCCTTGCTAACGACAAAGCTATGTGATTCCATGCATATTATCCACAAAAATATATGCTGGGTGTTTTCCTCCAACGCCTGGCGTCCTGATAATAAATGCAGTGACCCTTCCGAATACCTCAAAGTTGCCTTAAAGTTTAACTAAAGCATGTCTCTACTTAATGAATGACTAAATCTCAAAGTTTATCTTATCGAGTGCCATAATGGTAGAGGAAGTTGATTTCACCATCTTAAAAGCTTGATAAGAGGGTGTTTAGAGTGCGCACCACTGGTAGACCCTACTTCATCATTATCCCACTGAGGCCACTGTTTCTGTCTTGTCTAACTTGCTTATTTCCATGCACTGTATGACCATTATGTAGATTCTCTTCACTCAAAGTACATGAAACTAATGTTAATAGCTTTCTATGCTTTCTTTTTTCAGGTATTATTGCAAGAGAATGTGCAAGATTGTCAAGAAAGGCGGCACCTTCATGTGAAGGTGGAATTGAAGAAGACCTAGTGTTGATACCCCACCAAACCTCTTTGAAAAGGGATAAACTGCGTCCCCTTGGTGTTTCAGCAATCGGAGACCCATGTTCTGACGACACCCTCGTCAACAACAGAGGAAGTTCTTCCGTAGAGGCTTTCATTCAAACTCAGCTGGCAATGAACAACGAAGACGCCATCCAAGACAGCGACATAAGTGACTTCGAGCAGTCGGAAAAGTTCAAGAATGTTTTGGAAGTGGCAAAATCTGTTTCATTTCCGAGCAATAATCTAAAAAGTAGACTTTTACCATCTAAAGTGAAAATCTCACCTTCTGCTGGCAGTTCAAAAAGGTAGCAGCTGTCTGTTCACTTAGTTCATCTCTGTTGTGGTTTTTTTTTAAAGAGAAAGTTTGACCAAATGTCTTGTTAACTCTTTCACTATTTGGCCTGTGTCCAGGTGTGGGTCACGCTCAGACAATGCCATTTCAGAGCACCCAAATCATAACCCATGGTGGTCTTTGTAGAAGCCTATTCACTACTTCTTTTTTAACATAAACCTGTACATATTGGATATCAAAAGAAAGAGGATAAGTTGAAGGTTTGAAAAATGTGTGATTTATAGGGACAGCATTTATGTAAAAGGGGAAAAAAAGAGATTTTTGGAACAATTACGAACAACTATTATTGAATAATTTCCAACTTCAAATGCACTCGCTTTGATATATACAAATGTGAAATTTTCCCAAATACTGTTATATCCATTTAACCAATTCCACAGCAAATTTCATGCAAATATCTTTGCTTTACAAGAAAGTTATGAAAGTTTACAAGTCATGAGAGTGTCCTGCTGCAATGTCACAGAAAAGTAGATCCAAAAACTTGGAAAAGGGAGGTGCTGAAAGTAGAAACATAATGTTACTGTGTGTCATTCAAATTTCTTTGTGTGTGCCTCACTAGAAAACACGCTACTTTACACCTTTATACAGTTGAGGCATGTTGGGGCAAACAGTGCAATCATTTCAAGGGCATTTGGGTTGTCCGGCTTTGCTGCAAACTCGGCAGTTCCTGTCATGCCTACCCCTGCTGATTCCTGGTAGTGGGTTGTAGGTGCAAGGCGTTGAGTGGGCTCGACCTCAATAGGTCGCCGAGGTGATACAGTTGCGGTGTTGGCTGCATACGTTAGCTGCCTGATGAGGTTGTCCTTGAACTGAAGCAGGGTAGAGGCCTTCGCTCGTGCCTATTGTCTTGGATCTGACAGAGGTGAAACAAGATGCTTGCGTTGATGTGGCTTTGTTCAAGGAGCCAGAAGAAAATCTTTCTCCTCCATTTAACCGCGCTTATCCCCTATAAGTGCGTTTAGGCTGAAAAAATTTGTATGCACATCAATCTGGTTAGCCTATCCTATTCGGGTTTTCACATTAAAAGTTACCGCACCTCTGGGGGTCCGATAGCGGGCCTCAACGTGTGTAAATGTGGCTGCACTTTTGTTTTCCTAAGCAAATGATCAATCACTGAAAGTTTCACATTTTGGCCTGAATAAAATGCTCATTTAGCCCATAAGATTTTTTAAAAGAATATTTGTAGCTGAAATTGTTGGGGAAAAAATGGGAAATGTAAGACAAAGGTAGAAAGAAATAATAACAGACCCTTCTCATAAATATGTTCTCCCCCCCCCCCCCCCCCCCCCCCCCCCAGCATAATATATTGCTTGTAAAACAGCCAAGGTTAGGTGGGCCCTCCATGAGCACATTGTTTCATCCAAAGTAATCTTGTTTTTCTCTAGTGAGTAGAGGGTTTGGAAGGTGGTTACCTACCAGATGGTAATGAAAAAATTTAATGATGTGCAATGGATTATGATTTGGGTCCTCAGGAAGAAGATACTGTAATGTCCACTTCGCAGCTACTCATTTTAGAAAAATCTCTACCTAACAGCAACCAAGCTTGTGAAATGAAATTTTCCTTTATAAGTTAATCCCTTTGTTGCAATAAACTGTTGTCTGACAAAAAAAATTGATAAATCAAAACCAGTGTGAACACTGACATAACTCCTTCAATTTCAGTGTGCATGCATCCATCATCCCTCATCTACCTCCTCAACACCGGCTTGAGTAAAAAGTATACTATGCTGAGTACAGAGGCTCCGTTCCTACCATGTTGCGAAGAGCCACCTTCCCTCCTAGTCTTTCCCACAGGAGGAAAAGTCTGTACCGTTGTGCATAACGTTACAGCTCTGTGATCAAGCATGGGCTCTCCGACACTGCATATATGTTATTACCTTCTGACATAACAACGTCACATCTTGTAATCAGAACTCAGAAGATTATTGTAGTCCAACCTGATCTAGATCTGGGCCAAAGTCAGACTGGGGTGCTGAATGGGAAACTGAAAGGGGATGCTTGCAGTAGAGTAAAGTTGGGTAATTTCGCCAGTCTCAGCAGGCGAGCGATGAAGAAGCTTCCTCCCTTCTCCCCGCTCGATGCTCATGGCCCCAAAGTAATCTGCGACCTCACCTGACCAATGAAAATGCAGATTCTCATATGATTAGTGTGCTTGCTTGTCGTACATCTTTTGCTTCGTTCAAGTGACCATGGTGACGGGGAAATTCGCCACCGTATGGGGGGAATTTGCCAGTGCTTTAGGGGAACTTCGCCAGTTTGGGGTATCGCCTTATTTTATCATATTTGGTGAATTAAACAATCTTTTTCAATTCGTTTTTGTTAGGTGTTTTTTATTTGTCTTTTTAGCTCGTTTTTATTTCAACATTTCCTTCTGTAGGGGGTTCATGATATATTCAACTGAACTTATTAATAGTAATATATGTAGATCTAGGCTACATACAAGTTCATCAAAATATATCGAGTATGTAACATCAACTGCTGAACAAGAAAATATGGCACAATCAACAAACAAAATATTTTATCTTGAAAGCATGTTTCAAAAACTAACTTTAAATTTTTCAATAAGAGTGTACAGACTATTGTACTAATCTGAACGTTTTTCAGTCGATTTGTTGGCTTTCTCTAGCTTTCTTTGCTGGGCTTTAACTCTCCTCTCTCTTTTAGCAGTTTCTTCTCCTTTTTTCTCTATTGCAGCTCTTTTTCTTACATTAACTTTTTACTTGTCTGAAGTCTGTGCGATGTTATGGCACGAGACTTGTGGCAGTTGTTTGACACTGAGGTGGTGGGCACAACTTCAAACAGTCTGTTGACACCTCTGTATTCCAGTCAGCTGTTGGCAGAGGCGTCTGCCTGGGCTCCTTTTCACTCTCAGCAGTAGTCTCAGATGAGGAAGGCTGCGGGTTGCTTATCAGGTCCTCTAAGCTAACCATCACACTGATCCTGTTGGAGGCACAGTTCTGTGGCTTTCTGATGACCAGATCTCTACGCCTTTTCCTATGTTCGTTCCAATAGTCTTTTCCTGGAACTGAATCCTTAAGCTGCGTTTTTAGGCCCAGTCTTTTGACAGCAGTGCCCATTTTCAGAAGGAACTGATCCTTATTAAGGGGAAACCTGCAAAGTGCAGCTGAAATAACTTTGTCAACTACCGTATTGCATTTTCTAAATCAGTGGGAATATTTCTCTCCCTCCCAGCTCTCCTCCCAAAAGTGGATGGACCAGAAACATGGTCAGCAAGAGTTAATTTTCTGAGGACATTAACTTCTCTTACTGTCCCAGCTTTGCCCATTTTTCACAGCTTCAATTGCCTTCTGTACATCCTCTTGTGCATACTTATTATTGATTCCTTTGCTTATTTTCCCCATATTAACAAAGGTAGGAGAGTAACTTAACCAAGAAATGAAAAGGAAAGACCAATGTGAATGTGTGGCGAAGTTCCCCGAAAACAATGGCGAATTTCCCTGACTTGGACTAGGTGAAGATATCTAAAAATACAATTTCTTAACAGTAAAATGGCATACAGTGCATACAGATGACAACAAAAGTGAAGCCAGTGTAATATATCAGTTATTAAAGTAATTTCAAAACAATTTCTGTTACAGTAAAATGGCATACAGTGCATACAGATGACAACAAAAGTGAAGCCAGTGTAATATATCAGTTATTAAAGTAATTTCAAAACAATTTCTGCTAAGCTTTTTCTCGTGTGCAGTGCAGCACTTGCAGTTCATTAGCGGCATCTCTGTTGCTGGAATGGACTAAAACCACTAGCCCATGGTTTAAACCTCGAGTCTCATGGGGTCAAGGGGGTCACCAACGATTCAAACACTTTGCTAAGTCCTGCTGGTCCCATGTTGAATGAAATAACACCGAAAGTGGCGGCTGTTTCAAAAGTTTGGAGGTGAGCGAAGAGAATGGTGAAAATGGTATAGGTTATCTGCCTCTATCAACACTGTTAGGTTATTTAAGAAGCCGGACCTCTGAGTTTAACATCCATCTCCAAAAGGACCAAGGCAAATGGGAAATTCGTGTAAAGTGCTTTTCCTAAGGACACTACATCGGGCCAAGCTGAGGCTCGAACAACCGAACCTGCAATCTCACAATTACGGGTCTTGTAGCCTAACCACTAGGCCACCGATTCCACTGAAGGAGAAGATGGGACAACATTTCCAAATGGTGGAGTTGAAACACTCTTTGGGGTACTGGGTGGTCATCTTTGCACACCTAGACAAGAAGTCTGGGTCAGTCAGCCTTTAATAGCTGGGAGAATAATAATTCCCACTTAAAGTGATACAGTGGGATTGTGGTAAGGGTTTTACGTAGCTCGCAACTGCGTTAGGTCATATGAGCGCGCCTTACACACCAAACCTTTTCAATTGGTAGGAAATTTTGAATTTTGCCCGGGTGGCGATGGAAGCCTACTCTTGTATCGATTTTGGACCACCAAGGGATCTTTAACATCTTGCTCACGGGACCTCCAAGATTTTTCGCCCTGGTCCGAGAAGGCTAGGTGTAGATCTTTCTTACCAGAAGATCAGGGGTGTGTAGCTGAAAGACAGCAGTAAGAAAGAGCCAAGGAGTAGCAGTAGAAAGGCTGCAGAAAGAGTCAGGGGCCCAGTGGAGGGGGCAAAGGAAGTGAGGGGGTGAGGGCAAGAAAGTGGAGACGAAAGCAGACGACAGAATATTGCAGCAGAGAAGGAAAGAAGGTTAAAGAAGACAGTTTTTCCCTCGCTACCCAGATTCGAAACCGGGACTTTTGAATGAGAGGCAAACACCTTAACACCTCTAGGCCACGAGAGCCCCCGAATATCAGTCTATGGAACTCCGAGACAGTTGAAACCAGAAAAAGAGCTGCTGGACAGTGTATCGTGTTTTCACAGCAGGCACATGTTATTGTCAAATTGACTTAATTGAGAGGATGGAAAATGTCAAGATTAGAACCCATATCTATGACTATGACTGCCAGACTGAGGAATAACTTTAGAGTCGACAAGATGGACAAAAAAACCCATAGGTAATATTTTTAAAATCTGAATGTACTCGCTATTCATGATCTGTTCACAGCATACAGAGCTGAAGTTTTGCGCTCCAAGGACATTACTGGTGCAGGAAGAGCACTGTCTTGTTCAGTCTGTGCCTCACTGTACTCTTGTTGTTCTGTTGCTGGCGCCCGGTGTGAAGACGGCCATGGTGTCAAAGGATCAGCTCAGTGTACCTGGAGACTGTTGTCTTGATAATTTGAGTGATATGGTCATCCTCGCTGGGCAGGAAGCAGATGATAAGAGCATGTTCTCTGAGTTGTTGGAATAGGACGGGTCGTAACTCTGCAACAACCTGGTTCATCACTGATGCTTTGAATTTGTTCACAGCAGCTAATGCGGACTTCAATTCCAACAGGCTTTTCCGTAGACACTTATCAACAGCCAGAACAATGCTGAAAAAAATCTGCAGTGACATGAATGAATCAACCCACCATTGTCTCTCCTTACAGTGAGCTGCTGAGGCAAATGAGTGACATCCATCGCCGCTGGATTGTGTTTGTCCTCTTCCAGGACCCCAAAGCATTCTCTGCACATTTGATGGTGGCCTTCAAATCTTCTGCAGATGAACCCAGCAATATAATGCACTGCAAGGTCATGATACTCTGAGGGACACCTTGAAAAGAGGATCGGCGAGGCTGTCACAGTTCTGGTTCTCTGTCTGAGACTGAGGAGTGACTGTGTCAACTGTTGAACAATTGATTGTCAACAGGCTAAGGTTGGCAGTTAGCTCTGGCAGATGGTGTTACTCCATTTTTTTTGCTGCAGTGATCTCAAGGCCCAATTGAATTGCAGGGCAGTTGGATTGTTATTCCAGCCAAACCGCCACGGAATTTGACAAAAGACGGTGTTCAGATGGTCCTGTGAGAACCTGTAGGTCAGGACAAAACGGAAGTTTTCTTGTTGAATGAGCTGAGTGCTCAGTCTCCGTAGACTGGTGAGAGTGGTAATAAAGCCGATAAAGGAAGTCTTTCGTTTACCACACTCCAAAAGCTCCCCATGATGGTCTCGCAATTCCATTATAATGTATGAAATAATTTCATCCACAGCCTTAGCTTTCATATCAAGATTTGAAGAGTTAATTGGGCTCTTAAAACCCCTGGTGGCAAAGTTGATGGAATTGTGGAGATCAAAGGCCTTGTCCATGGTGGAGTTAAACTGT